GGGTGTGGTTGGAAAAAAAAGAGGGGGAGGGTAAGAGAGAAAGAGAGAGAGAGAGAGAGAGAGAGAGAGAGAGAGAGAGAGATGGAGCTGAAGTAACATGTACAACACAGTATCTTCTGCAACACTGTACCTGGAAAGGTGCCCTCTGCTGGTTCAAACATTCAAACGTTATGAGACCATTTATTAAAATCACGTTTTCAAATCACTGCCATCACTTTAAACCAGACTCCATTGGACAACAGCAGCTGTCAATCAAACCGACCAACGTATTCTCTCTAATTCTGATAAAGACGACATGAAACGACTGATTAACTCTAATCCTTCAACCTTCTAAACAGAGCAGCAGTGGTTTGACCTTTTCCCCCATTCACCACTTCACTGAAACAACATCAGGTTTCTGATGACTAACTTTTCCACCGACCGTCCCGGCGGCGTCCCAGCTCTGCGCTGGACCCGTCTGTGCTCGGCCTGCGAACCATCACCACTAATCTGATGTGGAAATGTAATTACGCGTGTTTTCTCTGCAGCAGCTCCAGCTGGAACTCTGGCTGTAAAAACTAATTAGCACCAACAAACGCCAAGCCTGTGACACCGCACGGAGTCAGGAGTCACGGCCAACAACAGCCAGACACCGGGGCCTCCAGGAGCCCCCGGGGAGCCCACAGAGACCCGGAGAAATATGAAGACCCCCAGAGAGCGGCAGAAGGACGAGGTGGAAACATTTTTGGTAAATGTTCGTGTTCACACCGAGCGCGAAGTAACAAGATTGATATCGTTCTCCTGTTTGGATTAGAAATATGTAGCTGCAGAGCTGGGTTTTAGGAAACCAAAGTGGAAAAAAGATTTTAAAAATTATATCTGGAAAAGTTTCAATTTAAAAGGTGAAATGAGAAATAAAAGTAATTTTAAAAGGTTTCTAATTTTGTATTTATTTTAAAAGAAATATTAAATATAATTATTATTGTTATGTATTATATTACAATAAAGAATTAGAATATATTATTATTATTATTATTATTATTCAATTAACTCAGATTTAATTCAACATTTTCAGCTCAGCCAATCAAAAAATAGTACCAACGCAGGTGTGTTTTCTAACAGTATTTCTGACCAAACCGACTTCTGTTTCAGCCTGTGATCGTGTTAAATCCTATAACTCTCTAACACCAATAAAAGTTTGTTCTTTTTAAATGAATGTTAATAACCCTTTTTTTTAAAAATAAAAACAAAAACTACATCTGACCTGCAGAGAGCTGAGTCCACACAGGCCTCGTGCTCAAACGCCATCGCTCCTCATTCAGCA